GGAATCACTTTTGAAATTCAGTTACTGCACCATCTAGATGGGATTCCCAGCAGGGCTTGGCATGGTTCTCCAGAAGGCTATTTTCTGAATCAGTATCCAATACACAGTACTGTTTCTCCTATAGCTAATATTCATGAGTCTAGGAATCAAGTATTTAAAATTCAAGTGGTACCCTCACTATTACCCCTAATGATGAACTAGCCTGATTTTTTTGCTTCACGTTCCTGGGCTTTTCTGCTCTGCTGTTCGAAATTGTCTTATAGCCAGAAGGATAAACATTTCCACCAGCACACACACACACATGATCCTGTTGAACAGGAAGTTAAGAATGGCACTAGGCCACTTTGTGCTCCTTCTTCCTCTGAATTATGTGAAGAAGGGCATTACTCTGTGGGCTGGTGAGATACTGAGGAGAAATTGCACTATGTTTCCACAATGAAGATGAGGACAATATGTCTAAAATTCACATCACTTAGGGTAACTCTCAGTCGTGTAATTCCCTATAATTAAGGTCATTGCAAAATTCCAACAAAGCAATTGAGACAGGATTTCTCTTGGCCTGACACTTAAGGAATGAAGGTAAAGAGAGTGACCAGGTAAAGAAAACTGACCAGTTGAGGTGCTTGTTCTAGAAAAAGGGATTGTGGAGTGGGTAGTGGAGGAGGTAGTTGTGAACACCAGCTATAACCATAGGAGTAGTCACGGAATTGAGCACTGTAATTTCCATAAGTATTTGCTTCTCACTTTGGTAAGAATATATTTGCGTGTGTTTGTTTGTGTGCCATGTGTGTGTGTTTATACAGACTCATATATATATGTATAATGTATGCATACATATATAAACAGCAAATATATTTATTTTCTTTCCAATCATATTCTCTTATATAAGACAATGTATTGAAATTAGTGCATAGTAATTAATTAGACTTAATTGTCATCATAGTATTTAAGTTATGAGTATCAAGGGGAAGAGTAAACATCACTCAAACACTTTACCTCCTTTTCTGGGGAAAGTTTTAGTGCATTTTCCGTTTTACACAGCATAGTGCATCATGTTAGGTGGAATTATGACCTTGCTATTGTCTTTACTTCCAATTAAGTATGGTCTAAGGAATTGTGGATTGGTGACAAGTTGACAGTGGGTGGATGTGTGATGGTTCATTGTATATGCCAACCTGACTAGTCCACAGGATGTCCAGATCCCTGGTTAAATGGTTTTTCTGGTTGTATTTGTGAGGGTGCGTTCCACAGAGCTTAGTATTATATCAGTGACCTGAGTAAAGTAAACGGCCCACTCTGATGCTGGTGGGCATTAGCTAAACCCTTGAAAGGCTGAATGGAATAAAAGGCAGAGGAAGGTTAAATTCACTCTGCCTGACTGGTTGATCAGAGAAACTGATGTCCTTTGTGCTCTCAGTTATCAGGCTTTCAGATGTGATGGATGGAATTTACACCTTCCTTCAGCTCTCCCATTCTCAGGTAAAGAATTGTCTTCTTATAGAAATACACCATCCTCTTCCTGAGTTTCTGCCTTGCAGACAGCAAGTCATGGGATTTGTCATCCTCGATAATCATGTGAGCCAGAATCCTATAATAAATATGTTCAGAGATACAGATATAGGTTTGTATATAGATTTAGATATAGATATAGATAGATGATAGATAGATAGATAGATAGATAGATAGATAGATAAATGTTACTGGTTCTGAAGGGGTGGTGGGTAGGGAAATGGGTAACTGGGTGACAGGCATCAAGGAGGGCATGTGAGTGATAAGCACTAGGTGTTATACTGTATGTTGGCACATTGAATTTAAATAAAAAGAAAGTAAAGGAATGGAGAAACATTCATCATGCAAATGGATGTCCAAAACAAGCTGGAATAATCATACTTATATCAGAAAAACTAAATTTTAAAACAAAGACAGAAACAAGAAATGAAGAAGGGCATACATCATAATCAAGAGACCTATAACAAGACAATCTAACAGTTGTACATATTTATGCCCCGACTTGGAAGCACTCAAATATATAAAACATCTAATAACAGACATAAAGGAACCCACTGATAATAATACAATTATCACTAGGCCAGATGGGGGGAACCTGGAGTCACATAACACATGAGGAAGGCCACCTTGCGTGGTGCTCTAGCTGGCTCTCCTTCCGTTGTTGCAGCCAGACCACTAGCAGAAGTTAACACCCCACTTACAACAATGGACAGATCATCAAAGCAGAAAATCAACAGGGAAACAATGGCTTTGAATGGTACACTGGACCAAATGAACTTAACAGATAGATTCAGAACATTGCATCCTGAAACAGCAGAATACACATTCTTTTCAAGTAGACACAGAACATTCTCCAGAATAAGTCACATATTAGGCCACAAAATAAGCTCAAGAAATTCAAAAAATTGAAATCATCCCATGCATCTTTTCTTACCACAATGTTATGAAATTAGAAGTCAACAAGAAGAAAAAATATAGAAAGACCACAATAACATAGAAGTTGAATAACATGCTACTAAACAATGAATGGCTCAACCAGGTAATACAAGAAGAACTTAAAAAAAAACTACATGGAAACAAAAATGAAAACACATGGCTCAAAACCTTTGGGATTCAGTAAAATCCATTCTAAGAGGGAAGTTTGAAGCAATACAGGCTACCTCAAGAAAAAACTAAAATAACCTAACCTTAACACCTAACGGAGTTAGAAAATAACAACAAGCCACACCTAAAACCAGCAAAGGAAGGAAATAATAAATGTCAGAGTGGAGACAAATGATATAGAAACTAAAAAAACAAAAACCCAAAAAACAAACAAACAAAAACTATAACAGATCAATGAAACCAGGAGCTGCTTCTATGAATGCTCAATAAAAATGATAAGTTTCTAGCCAGACTTATCAAGAAAAAAAAAAACAGAAAGGACCCAAATAAATGAAATAACAATTAGAGAGGAGAAATAACAAACAACAACACAGAAATACACAAGATTATAAGAGAAGTTTATGAAAAATTATATGCCAACAAATTGGACAACCTAATAGAAATGAGTAAGTTCCTAGAAACATATAACCTACAAAAACTGAAACGGGAAGAAATGGGAAAAATGAGCAAACCAATTACCAGTGAATAAATCGAATCAGTAATCAAAAGACTCCTAACAAACAAATGTCCAAACCCAGAGAACTTCACAGGCAAATTCTTCTGGTCTTTTAAAGAACAGTTAATTCATATTCTCTCAAAATATTCCAAAAAATACAAAAGGAAAAAAAACTTCCAAAGTTATTCAAGGAGGCCAGCATTACCTTGATACCAAAACCAGCTGAAGACACAACACAACAACAACAACAACAACATAACTACAAGCCAGTATCTCTGATGAACATAGATGTAAAAACCCCCAGCAAAATACTAGCAAACCCAATCCAACAATACATTAACAAAGTCATTCATACAATCAAGTGGGTTTTATTCCTGGTTTGGAAGGATAGTTCAATATGTGCAAATCAATCAACATGATACATCACAACTAATAAGAGAAAGGATAAGAACCATATGATCATTTCATATGGAGCAGTGGGTAAGATAAGTGATAAGGATTAAGGAAAGTACTTATGATGAGCACTTGGTGATTAAAATCAAAACTTAAAAAAAATACTCATTAAAAAGCTAACAGATGAAAACTCAGTATTATATATGGCCATACTAATGGCCTAGAAGAATAAGTAAAATATCCAATGTTTCAAACAAGTGACCATTTTTATCTTCTTCAATGTAATCTGTAAATGTGTCAAGGAAGTGAAACATTTAAGAAGACCTTTGAAGAAAGGATACCATTTCAATTGTACATGAAGATGGGTACACTCAGGAAGCATTCTCTGTGGAGGGACCATATGAACAACAACATATGCCAAAAGAGGGTATCCAGAAGGCTTTCAGTTAAGTTATTTTTTTAGGTAAAACACAGGGTCAGTAGAAGAATTTTGAAGAAAGAGATTTCAGAGTTCTATTAAGATTTTATTTGAAAGTACCTCAAACACGGCCAGGCTCACAAATGCAGGGTAATGAGTTTACAATGAAATATACTCATTATGCAGGGCAAGGAAATATATATATATATATACACACACAGAAAAAATATATATAAGTATATATATATATATTACTGTGGAATATATATATAATATATATATTTACACATGTAAATATATATTCACAAGTGTGCATATGTCATGTAATCTGTTCATATATGTGAATATCAAATATAAACATGCATATATAGAGTTCTAGATATGTATGCTGTATACATAAATATATATATATGTAATCTGATAGATATAACACTCCTTGAAAAGTTATTCCACAAGGATACCATATAGACTTCTGTTTATGAAAAAGTCTGACAGCAATGTTTGCAAAGTAAGAGAATATCAACATGATATAAAAGTATCAATAATATAACAGTGACAGATGTTGAGTAGTTTTAGTGTGTGATCCTTAGTTGTATCAGGAGGGCCATATGTGGAACCAGTGGTGAGAGAGGAAGGGCAAGGGTAGACTGAAATTCGATATCTCATTATACTTTTTTGCCTCTGTTCACTCAAATACAACCTGACCCCACTGTAGAGTGAAATGTGGTGTGAGTCAAGTTGCACAACTGTGTGGCTATAAAAGACTCATTCAAATTCTTTTCAGAGAAATTACACTATTACACTGCTTAACACATTTATGAAGCAATATTGAACATAAAAACATGTAAAATATTTTTTAAATTATTTTAGTATGACATGAACACTTGAATAAAATTCTATCTTTTTCAATAATATACCCACATATTTATGATGGTTTATTTGTATTCCCACTTTAAGGCATTTGAATGCTAGGGCAATTATACCTGCAAAAAATTTGAACACTAGCGAACATATAGCAACATCCGATCTGCACAATTCTCTGTTGTTTTAATGGAAGAAGAACAGATGTTACTATGAGTACTAGGCATGTCTCTTTAACATTTTTCTCATTGAATCTATAACTTTCTTATTTCTCAGGCTATAGATCATTGGATTTAACACCGGAATTATGACAGTGTAAAATAGAGAGTCCATCATATCTTGATCATCTGCCTGTGCAGATCTAGGGCGCACATACATGAAAAGGAGGGGGCCATAGTATAAAGACACAGAAAAGAGATGGGCCCCACAGGTGGAGAAGGCTTTCTTTATGCCTTGTAGAGACTTCTTTCTTAATATTGTAAAGAGCACTAGTGTGTAGGAGACAAGAACAGTCAAAATGGTGAAGACTTGTATTGACCCAGAGAAAATAAATACCATCAGATAATTAATAGAAGGATCAGTACAGGAGATCTTAAACAATGGTATAACATCACAGTAAAAATGATGTACCATGATGGAATTGCAGAAGGTTAATCTGAATAAAAAAGAACTGTGAATTATGGCATGAAGAAGTCCTCCTAAAAATGACAAAAGTATCAGCCGGATGCAGAGTGTATTGGACATAATCACTGGGTAAGTTAATGGTTTGCATATGGCCACGTAGCGATCATAAGCCATTGTTGCCAGCAAAAAACACTCCGTGGTTACACTGATTGCAAAGGAAAAAAACTGTATCATACATTCAGAGAGAGAGATCGTTTTGCTCTTGGCGAAGAATCCAACTAGCATCTTGGGGGTCACTGTGGATGATAACCAAGCATCCACAAATGCCAGACTGCCAAGGAACAAGTACATGGGGATGTGAAGCTGAGGGTCATTCCAGATGAGAGTAATCAGACCAAGGTTCCCCACAATAGTGAGAAGATAGATAACCAAGAACATCAAAAATAGAGGGATTTTCCACTGTGGTTCATGTGTGAGTCCTGTGAGAATCAGCTCCGTCAGCAAGGTTGCATTTTCCTTTTCCATGTCCTCATTGGGTGCTTTCTGAAATGAAATTGAACAAAAATTCAGTCAATTTATGACAGGAAATATAGGGAGGAGAGTTTAAGTAAGTTATGCACATCCGAATGTCCTCTCAGTTTTGTGTGTTACCTGGTGATCGATGGAATCTGTTTGGGGGGTTTGGAAATAAATGCGATTATTTCCATTTTTTAAATGTGCCATGATTACAGAATGGGGAAAATGAAAGATATTACACATAGTTTCTAAATTTATGGGACAGGATTGAGTATGAAAGGGAAATTCTGTGTCCAGGATATGGACATACGTTGAAGGGGAAAGAGGCTTGAAGAGCCTGGGCTATAAAATGAGTTGAATAGCATGTGAGGGATCTTGAACATTATTTATCAGGGAAGAAGCATGCACTGAAAAAAAAGGGAGTGAGGCACTGTAATATTTTTATTTTTATTTATTTTCATTTTTTAAAGATATTATTTCTTTACTCATGAGAGACACAGAGAGAGAGGCAGAGACATAGGCAGAGGGAGAAGCAGATTCCTTGTGGGGAACCCGATGCAGGACTCAGTCCCAGGACCCCTGGATCGCAACCCAAGCCAAAGGCAGACGCTCAACCATTGAGCCCCCCAGGCATCCCACATAAGATTTTTTTTAAAATAAATATGTGGCAGTGTAGAAAATAGGCCCTAGGGAGATGAAGTTGGGGTCAGGAATACCAGTCAGGAAAATGTTACTGCTGTCTACTGGGTTTCAAACAAGAATACACATTGGAATGCTCTGAAGAACTTTTCATGCAAAATATAGATTGGGAGGGTTTCTTTAGAATTAGATTTACTGGGTCAAGAATGAAATCTAATAAATCTGCATCTTAACCTGCTCCCCAAGGGATTCAAATGCATGTGATATAGCTAGTGCATGGGTGAAATGACACTGGGATCGATGGAAAAGAGTTCAGAATGTAGAGACATCATCACTTCTTGTGACACATTGGAGGTGAAAGGATGGTCAGTGAAGAATAGGAGTCACTTTGTGACTGGGTAGATTTTCATTTACCCAAAGAAAATGAAAACAGCAATTTGAAAATACATACAAGAGATGAGCACTGGAGATTATATGTTGGCAAATTAAATTTAAATTTTAAAAAAAGGAAAGAAACATGCACCCCTACGTTTACTGCAGCCTTATTTAGAATAGCCAAGATATCGAAGCAACCTAAGTGTCCACCTATAGACAAATGAATAAGCAAGTATGTGTGTGTGTGTATATACACAATGGAGATGTAGATATGTATATGGGATATTACCCAGCTATAGAAAAGGATAAGATCAGGCCATTTGATACAACAGGCTATTACACTAAAAGAAATAAGTCTGAATGAGAAAGACAAATACCATATGATTTCACCCATAGGTGATGTCGAAAAAAATGAATAAACAAAGAGAAGAATCAGACCTAAAAATACAGAGAACCACTTGTTTGCCAGAGACATAGGAGGTGGAAAATTGGGCAAAATGGTGAAGGAGGGTGGGAGATCAGGCTTCCAGTTATGAAATGAAGAAGTCATGGATAAAAGTCACAGCATAAAGAATATAGTCAACAATATTGTAATAGCAATGTATGGCAACAGATGACAGCTGTACTTGGGGTCAACCTAGCACAAAGTATAAATGAGTCAAATCACTGTGTTGTACGCCTGAAACTAATGAAAGATTGTGTGTCAACCATATTCAAATTTTGAAAAATCATTGAAATGAGGATGCCGTGCCAGGTTGTAGAGAGAGTGTCCTCTGGACATCCAGGTGGTATATGCTTTGTTGTGTGCGTCTACTACAAATATTGACTTGGAAGGCATCAGGGTAGCTCAAGGCATACTCATGTTTGACCTACACATTGGGGAATACACAAAGTGAAGAGAAGGGTGAGGAACTAAACTGGCAAAGTATATTAACGTAGTTTTGGAGAATATATGTCATTTTTAGCTAGCCAGTCCTCTTTTCTACCACATAACCTGGGTGCCAGGCAAAACTACCATCCACTCTGGGAACCAAAAGAGCTACAACTGACTTTGCTGTCCCCTTATAACTAAAGTGAGGGCATTTGTGATGTAAGTTTGGCAACTAAAACCCATCCACAGTGGATTTGGAATTTGGAGTGAGAGAGGAAAAGGGAGAAGAATTTGAGTTGCCAAGGTACAATATGAAGGTTCCAGCAAAGCATTCTGCATCCACCCTAATGATGCTTTTAGTATGAACAGTGGCATTCCCACAGCAGGAGTGAAAGCAACCCTCATGGAACCAATGTTGGGACATGAGTTTGCTGTTGATAGAACCCCTTGCTTCCTTCTGTTGCTGCCCATTTTGTTTCCAGTCGATTTCGTCAAATCCCCAGCATTGCTGTGCTACAGGAGATCCGTTTAAAACATCATTTCTTGTTGCAACTAATAGCCCTGACTGGTAGTGATAAACAGCAAAAGACCAGGAAAGGAAACAGCAAAATGATCAAGAAAAGAAGGGAAACAGGACACATGAGTGTCATGAACATAAAGAGAGGAAGATACTCAAGAAGGACAAAGACAGTTATGGTGCCAGTTGATGAAATAGATGCTCTGAAGCACAAGGAGTGAACAGGTGTGATTGAGCATGGAGACTGAGAGATTTGCAGTGGCTTTAGTGAGAGCAATTTCTCTTATGTGATGTAGTCAAGGCCAGAGAATAATGAGCAGTGAATGGGAAACCAGTTGCTCAACAGTGAGCAGGGCAAGGGCATTGAATCCTCCAGGAATGTGGAAGACAGTGGTTATATGTCTGCTGCAGATGGACAAATACAATATTTTAATGATATTTCATTTAATAAAAGTGTTCAAAAGATAGAAGAGGATAAGAAGTCTTCAAAAGGCAAAAGAAGACCACAGAAGGAGAAATTAGGGTGGGTGAAGTTCACAAGACGCACAAATAGGCAGAGAACAGGCACATGGATGAATAAGTGTGGCAAAGAGAAGCAAAGGATTAAGAATATATCAAGGGTGCCTGGGTGGGCCAGTTGGTTAAGTGTCCAACTCTTGATTTTAGCTCAAGTCATATTCTCAGAGTCCTAGGACTGAGGCATGCACTGGGGCTCAGCACTCAGTGGGGGTCTGTTTGAGGATTTTCTCTCTCTCTCCCTCTGACACATCTGCCCCCACTCACACATACTCTCTCTAAAATAAATAAATAAATCTTAAAAAAGAGAATGTATCTGAGAAAGGCTATGAATAACAAAAACATAAAGGGCCAGAGTTTCAGGATAAATGTTTATGTAACACTTGACATTTAGTTGTCAACACTGGGAATCTTTTTTCTTTTTTTTAATTCAAATTTCCAAAAATATTTTTCTATGGAATATGTGTATGCAAGGGATTCTCATTTAAATGTTACCTCACAAACTTTTTCCATAATGTATTAGCCCTGCCTGAAAGACTTTTCTATTTAAAAGTTGCTTTACATTTGTTTTTACAGTAATTAGAACTGACTTTTCCTAGAATTCCTTGTGGTTTTACTTGAGAGCACCTTTTCTCTCCCAGGTTTTTTAACAGAACAAAATTGAGCCACAGTGGAGTGGAATACAGGTGATATAAATACCAAAGGCAAACATTGCACTCATTAAATGTATATTTATTTGGAAAATGCTTCCTTCCAAGCAATTCCAAATCAGCAAATAATTAAAAGGTCTCAAATTTAGTTTGTGTGGGTGCTTATTATGCTATAAATCCTGGAAAGAGCAGTGAAGGAGCGCTTACTGCCTATTTCCTGCTAAATGTACATAAGTAGTTAATGAAATTCTTGTCAGAAGTGGGAGATAGGATAGGGTTAATATGCAGGTGACTTACCTTTGAATCAGAAAATGTGATGAGTTAAACATAATGGAGATTTTAATCAGAATAAGATGCAGAAAGATTTCTTATGAAAGGAATCATTATGAAGTGATTTTTAAAATGTAGTTTAAATTGTTTGACATTCTAGTTCATGAATTATAGACATGTTAAGTAAGTAACAGCATTGTTAAAAAGAGTAATTCAGTTTCAGTCTTATAGCTATTTTGTTTATATAGAGGATAGTCATTAAAATTTAATATGTAAATTATTCACTATTTGTTGTCTATTATTCACCTGGGTCTCTGGCTATTATAAACCCAAAGTAAAATTATTATAAATATAATATTATCCCAACTTTATATATAAGGAGTAATGAATACTATAGAAACCATCTCTCTCTTACTCATATCTTATAAGAAATTGAGGAAATTCTTTCAAAGTGTTAGGCTTTCTAAAATAGATAAGAAATCCTGAGCACTTACATGACCTTAACATGGGTAGCAAGTCCTTGCACAGTGATTCACTGCGCAGGCTTCATTTAACAAGCTCAGGAAAATGTTGTTTATATCAATTCATTTCAAGTACAAGAGTCAACCAGTTGTGTGTATTTGGGCTTTTTGCCAACAGAGGAAGGAGTGAAGGACTAAAATTCTCCTAATAGCACCCAAGGCTTCCCTTTATGACGAAACTAAATTATTCTTCTGGGCATTGTAGACTTGGACATGTATGGGAGGTCCACGTATCTCCTAGGGCATCACAGACTCTGAAATCATAAACATCAAGTCATCATAGCTACTGTATCGTATGCCTTTATTTTCCACTATTAATGACACCTCCAATCTATTTATGCAAATTTCAGTTTATAAATATTGTTGTTCTGAGTGCTTTGATTAGTATGAACTTATCTGAACTAATCATACATGAGTTTAACAAGGCCAGAGTTCTAGGCTCCCTTCAGGATCCAACCCCAAATGCAGTTGCCCTCCTCACGCAAATTGTAGCTCACTTTCCAGACCTACACTGAACTTCCCACTTTAATTGGTAAACAGCTGAGAAATATTACTTGGCAGAGGTCAAGGGAAGATAAATGGGAAAACAAAGTGAAGGTCCATAGAGGGAGGTGATATATAACAAGGCTTCTCAAACATTAATGCCTGTGAATCTCCTGGCAATTTTC